GACAATATAAAAAAAAAGATCTTCGCCAATCAAATTTATCCTTAATTTAACCAATCAAAATGAACTTCCACTATGCTCTGATCATCTGATTGATTTTTAGCGTAAGACAAATTTATTTGATTGGTGGATTTGAAAAACTACGGGCTTTGCACTCCGAGTTCCGAGTTTACTTATAATAAAATTTCGATATTTCAGAGTATCTTACAAAAAAAAAAAAAAAAAGAGAAAAACAACAATTCTTAACATGGATCAAACCATTTTAGAAGAAGATATTGTTATATCAGAGTTTTTCGATGATGAAGACGAAGTGGATTATGAGCCAGACGAAGACGTTTACAGTCAAAAACCAAACACTGCTCAAAAACTTTCTAAAGTCTCCATAGATGTTGAAGAAAAAGAAAAAAATGAAGTAGAAATTACCAATGGAAATTCCAACCGACACCGTCCACGTAGCAAGACTGAAGGCAATTATTCGAACACTCAATGCACATTAAATGGTAAAGATGAAAAATCTGACATTAAAGACAATGACCATATTAAAGATGTCAAACATAGTGGCGTAATCCACCAGGTAGGCATAGGGCCACTTTTCCCTCTCTTCACCACCATTTTGTCGAATGGCACTTTTGATTTGCGGCTCTGCTGGAGTTTTTGTTTTTTTTTTTGATTCGCAAATTGAACATGGACATTCATTGTTGTATGGAAGTATTATTGTATGGTGCTTTTGTTTTCGATTCTGTCTATTTGGACATTTTGGCCATTGGATGCCGGATCGAGGACATTAATGAACATTTGCGCGACTTGAGCAAACAATGTGAACAATTGATTAGATAAGTCATTATTCAGTTGATAATGTATTCAGATGAAAAAAAAAAAAACAAAACACAAAGGGTATAGGAAGAAAATCATCAGCATGCTCGAACTATGTCACATAATATCATATAGTATCAACTTTTGTTTCCACGCAATGTTGTTCCCAAAAATTCCTGACTTTTTTCACAACCAAAGGATACACGGAAAATAAGCATCAGATCCGCCTATACTAAGATGAGACCTTCAGCATCCATTGGCAGACCAAAGAAAATTAATTGGAGTAGTCGTGAATTTCACCAAAGAAGGTTGGCGCCTACCTCTTCCAACGGGTACGCCGTTAACTATCATTATAAAATACAAAAATCACGCTCTGGTAAATTGAACGAAAGGGACTCTGGCACTGGCACTGGCCGATATTACTTTAGTCACAGTCGCCGTATGGAAACTATGGACAGTAAGGATAATAAAAAAATCAAAGGACATTCGCACCGGGATGACACACCACGCGAACGAAATCTTGATTTTCCTACCCATGCATCTGAATATCATCACACTCCAAAACCAACATCTGACAATTATGACAAAGGTTACTATATAAAAAATAATTTCAAATATTATATTGGGGTTTTTTTCTGTGATGATAACGGATATATAATCATTTTTTTTAGAACCCCGTTCAAAACGTCAGAGTGATATTTCATATTGTACAGGTGAATCACGATATGGTATGTAAGAATTATTATATTAAAGATTAAGGTTAATCTTTCCTAATTACTATTATTCATATTTGTGATCAGGCACATCGAAAAAATCCTCAGATGTAACTCGCTACTTTATTATGAAGAGTCACAACCACGAAAACGTCCAAAAGTCACAAATAGACGTATGTCATTAAACTCCTCTTTCAAAATTTATATACCAATTCTAAAATTTTATTGACTTTTAGGGTGTCTGGGCTACACAGCCTATTAACGCTAGTGTATTAAGCGATGCTTTTAGAGTACTTATTAATATTATTATTCCTATTCAAGTTTACTGTTTTGCAATCTTTCAATTAAATAAACATTGTTATTCCTCATTTAGAATTCTAAAAGAGTTATTCTGATTTTTTCCGTGAATAATAGTCGACATTTTCAAGGTAATATTAAAAAGCTTTGAGTTATTGTCTATTTAATTTTGAGATTTGCTATAACGTTTCAATAAAAATTCCAGGTTTTTGCTTAATGGAATCCGATGTAGGTACTATAAAACATGCTTCATGGACAGATATTAGTGGATCTTCTCTTGGCGGAAATTTTAGCGTTAGATGGCTAAAAATGTATTTATTATTATTTATTATGTTTTCTGTCTAAGAGCGCATAGAATGGTATTTATTGGAATTTATTATTTCTATAGTGGTAATTTATCATTCGAACGAACGCATAATATTCGCAATCCCTGGAACGATAACAAACCTGTAAAAATTAGTCGTGATGGACAGGTAGAGTCGTTAATATTCGAATTAAAGTCTAAGCATTTAATTAAAACTTGATATAGCGACATCCTAAAATTATTATTGATGTGCAAATACCTAATTCGTAGGAGCTTCCTGAAAATATTGGTGACGAATTGTGCAACCTCTTTGATTATACCTCATCCAAGGAGGCATCCATCTTGGATGTAAACGCTGACAAAAATAGGTCACATAAAGTGTCTATACGAGGTTCGGAATCTGGAAGCAATAATTATCCTTTTGACATAAAAATTTGGATGTTTTGTATTAAAGCATTTTATTGAATACATTTTAGGTAGTATAGATAGATATAGACCATACAGCATTCCTAGCACGTCACGTACAGAAAGGTTAATATTAATCTTATCATGATATATAAGTAATTAACATAATTTTTTATTGTGTTAACCAATTTTCATTCTTTTTTTTTTTTTTTTTAATAGGCTACGTAACCGTAGTCAACTTGATTCGTTAGAATATAGCAGAA